TTGCAAACGAGTTGAATGAGCCACATATGCTATGACTTGATTAGCCTCATTAACATAATATATTGCAAACAATGAGTATTCCTGTGGCACCTTTGAGATTTATTGGGGCATAAGCTTTTGTGCATAAAACCCACTTCATCAGATGAATTGGAGTGGAAGTTACAGAGGCAGGGGTATACTCACAAAAGTTTATGCACTAATGAATCTCTAAGGTGCCACAGGACTCCTCATTGTTTTTGCAGATACAGACTAATATGGCTCCCCCTCTGAGACTTTTTCAGATGGTAAGAGACATGTTTGCTTAATCTTCCAGCACAAACAATTTCTCTTTCAAATAGCTCCTCACCAGCACTATGTATTGTTTGCAAAGGCCTTTTGAGGTCAGAGGCCTGGCAAGTTTGGAATGAGGAGAAAGAAGCTTAATTAATTTGAGGTAGGTTCATCAATTAAGCAATGGTAAAAATGGCTAAATTTAAAATGAATTTTGAATAGCACGAGCTGATAAAGCTAACTGTTGTGGCCCAGTGTTGCACTCTCTGTCTGGGCAAAAATTCCTGTTGAGGTCAATGGTTGTTGGGTCTCTGTGAAGATGATGAGGTATGCCCCAATACCTCTTACTGAACATGCTTGGCTTTGTGGAACATAATTCTTCATCTAACTCACATTTGTGATCTCTGACCATACAGCCTTGTGTTACCATGCCACAACATACAGACTTTCCTAGTCAGAAAGTCGGTGACATTGCTTACAAAAATGTATTTACCAGCCTAGAGAATGCTTGCAATCTTGTTTCAGATATGAGAGCTTTATACAGCATCACCAGACCACTTAAACACAGAGAGGCCATGTGGTAATCCTCAGTTCTCCATAATGACTACCCCAAGACCTTTATCTAAGGTCTGTCAACAAATGTCAATATTTCTTAATCACTATGGGGGGTGAATATTTCCCTTATTTCCAGTGTAATTTCAGAATACATCCACAGTAACTCTAGCATATGTGTTATACCTGCCCTCTGACCTGACAGTACTTTGCTGGTTTTGCATCCACTCCTGGACTGCTCACAAACAGCCTCTAGTATATAAATCACTCTAGCTATGTCTGGGCCTGCCAGTCAGACCCAGGCATTTGCTCCCTTAAATTACACTGAAGGGTGACTCCAGTACACTTTTTCCCCAGACATGTGGCTATGGTCCAGGAGAAATTTCTTTTAATAAAGGATAGACTTTCTTGTATAACATTCTAGTCATCCCAAACGGAGTTTCCCAAACCCTTCAAACACACTGGGTTAGACAAAATCTTTGTAGTTAATAAACTTGTTTTATTGTTTTAAGTGAATACAAGTCAGAAATGGTTACAAGAGCAATAAAAATAAAATGCAACTAATGCATCACTTAAACTATGTGGTAATCAAAGAAAAGTTTCTTGTGCCATGTGTACTTATTAGTCTTATTGGCCCAATTTCTAAGTCAGGAAGTTATGATTTAAGTATTTGAGTACTTCTGTGTAATGGCTGCTTCCTTAGTTCCTTCTGGTGTAGTCAATCAATGGCCTTTCAGGTGTTTAGCCCTCATTTTTAAAGTGTCAGACCCCCTTTTAGAAAATAACATTTCCGGCTGAGTTTCAGGAGAGACAAAGTGTATAGGAGATAATATTTCCTGCTGGTTTTTTCACCTGTTGGAACTCCCTTTGTGCTTGATGATTGTGCAGCTTATTTTGTAATTTGACGCTGTCTTCACAGTACCAAATTTCAAAATAAACCACTATTCCAAAACTTCCTTTAATCCATGTGGAACAAGGTTTATTGGGATGTTGGAATAGCAAGCCCATTATATTTCAAAATAATGGGCTTGTTTCAAAGACACAGAATAGCTATTTCAGGATACCGGAAGTATCCTGAAATAGCGCTGCAGTGTAGACGTACCCAACGGTTCCCCATTCTTAAAATAGTCATCAACTCAGCCCTAGCTAGTTTCTCAAAATTATAAAGGGGAGAAAAGCTAAATGTTTAACCTAATGCATCTGAGTGTTTTAAGGAATGCGAGGGAGGAGAATTGAATGTGCTTAATGCTTTTAAAGCTTTTTGTTGTGTATCACTCGGAAGCAAATGTTTTGCTAGAGATGAATAAAACCTTAGCTGGGGAAGATTGACAGAAAGTCGCAATACATTAGCATATTTTCCGCTGTTTCTTTTTGCGCAAGGGGTTTTTGTGCAAAACAGACACATCCACACTGCCTGTTTTTGTGCAAAAACCTTACGCAAAAGGCATCAGAGGAGATTATGTAAATGAAGTGTGACTATGCTATTCAGTGCTTCATTTACATTGCCTCTTCTGGCAAAAACTCATAGTATAGACATAGCCTATTATGTAAAGCCTTTCTCTGCTACTAGCTTCACAAGATGTTTTTTACGATTATTCTAGGGGTTCATCTAGACTACGCCATCTGCCAATCTCACTTTTGAAAGTAGAGCTTTTGAAACAAAGTAGCTTGGATGTGGCTTTTTCAGTGAACTCCCCCCTTTTTCGAAAAGCCACTTTTCCTCAAAAAATGAGGTTTACGTGGCTTTTTGAAAAAGGGGGATTTGCTGCTGAAAAAGCCGTATCCAAACTACTTTAACTTTTAAAAGCAAGATCGGAAGACAATATGCAAATTCCCACTTAATTTGCATATCTTCTTTCGGCCCTTCTGCGTAATCTAGATGAGCCCCAATTGGTGTCCAGTAGTTTCCTTATCTCACTGCACTAGTCAGATCAGTGACTCTGTAACATTTGGAATGTGTTAGCAACATCAAGATCTGGAGCCATGAACTGCATTTTCCACCTACCTGTCCTGGCTGATGTTGTGCAGACCCTTGTGGAGGGCAGGAATTAGAGGGAATGCAGACAGAAACAACTTGGCACTGAGCTGTCAAACACCTCCTCTCCCTCCCCCCCAGCTTTGGGAAAGGCCAGGACAACCCCCTTCCATTCCAGGCTCCTTGCTCCACCCCCAACCCACTCTGGCACAACACCTCCCTGTCCCACCTCTTCTCCCAGCCTAGGCAGTCCAGGGTACTAGCAGGATCGCAGGCTCAGTAATCCTAAATAATTCCTAAATAGCGCATTGCTACTTCTGTACAAACCACCAGTTCTCTGGCCCACCAACCCTGCTGCTGGTCAGGGCAGCAGGGGGGAGGGAGGAAATGGGCCCATGTGCACCCCCATGCATCACCTCTGTATACCAATCTCCTGTGTAGTGCAAATGTTAAACTATCCCAATGAAGATCTGTTTAACATCTGTTTTAGAGCAACATATATTTTGGTGAAAAGATATGTTAGCTGCATGTATGCTTCCCTTCAAGCTTCTCCACTTGAGAGTAAGTATTTTCTGGGCTTTTCCCCATACTAGCCCAAAAAACAAGAGCCTGGAATGGTGTTTGAGAGGTGCTCCTGATACCAACTGTCAAACTAGGTTTCAATTAATCCAGTATTGGTTTGTTGCCTGCTGCCACCACCAGGCCATTCATATAACCTTGAGAACTATTTCTGTTGGGTTAAAAAATTAATCCTGTTCATTTTCTGTGTGTGGCTGATTTCTGAGAGAAAGGGAGCTCTCTAGAGAGGCAGATATTGTTTACCAGACACATATTAGCTCTTTCTTGGCTTCAGGGGGCATCCTTCAATCCTAAATTCAGTGCTTTAAAGCCAATCAAAAGGCACAGTGAAGCAACTACTGCATATGTGTTGCAACTTTAAAAATCATGTGCCATGGATTAGGAATGTAAAAAGTTGTTTGAAAAGATAACTTTAGTAGTTACACAGTTACATGCACTGGAAGGCACTGCAGAATAAACTCCAGGAGATGGTTCACACTGATAATCCTGAATAGGGATAAATGGTCTCCCACCAGCCTAGAGTTAGGCACATAGGTATTTTTGAGGGATGAAGTGTAGGCCTCATACTTCTCCTCAGCATTCCATACTAGCTAGCTCAGTCAGCTCACCATTAGCTGCTGGCTTCTGTGAATTGCATGCTTAGCTGCTTAACTCTCACCATGCATCGTACAGGGACCATGAGCAGCTACTGTAGGCTAAGGATTCTCCTGTGGGGTATCAGGTGTTGTAAAACTTGAGTCCTTTTGTGGATCTAGCCCTTTTACAGTGTCTCAATTCCCCAAGTGTAAAATGGAGAACATCATACCATCCCCTCCTTTATCGGTCTTATGCATTTTAGTACAGCAGTTTTTTTGGAGCAGTGACTTTTTTGTTCCTGTATATGCAGTACCTAGATCAATGGCTTACAGCAGAAGTAGCTAAATTCAACTAGGTCACTATTGGTTGCACTTTATACTGTCTCTGCAGTGAGTTAGTCAATGTTTTTGTATATAAAATAGATAGTTTTAAGGAATGCATATTTTGATCAAAAGGAGCAACATATGCTAGCCACGAGGAGTCTGATTTTAGTGCTCAGATACTGTACTGTGCTGATGAGTAGCGGTAGAAATTCCTAAAACAGAAATGAGTGGACATTACAAATGCATTTTTAGAGAATGTATGCATTTTATTTCAGATCCAATCAAATTACTAGATAAATTTGTTAAGTAGAGAGACATGGGCACAGAATAAGCAAAGGCAAAACCAGGATATATTATATAAGGTGAATACTGAAGAATTAGTCTTAAAACTAGATGGGCGGAGAATGTCAAAAATCACATTTCAAGTATCTGGGTTCCAGAATCCAGGGAAATGTGGGTGGAAATTAGAGTTAGGATAATAAATGCCTGGCTCAAATGTAGAGAGATAACTAATGTAAGTATATGACAGGAAGCTACCATAAGATTACATGAGGAATGTGGATTTTACAGACGTGTTCAGAATAACACCCATAAATGGAAAAAAAATGGAATACAGGCTCACGAGGTTTGGTCCCATAATGCACAGTCCTGAGACCTACAGGGAAAGACAGTGCAACAAATCAAAACTGTAGGAAAAAGACGGGGGCCAGCCCAGGAAGACAGGGTGGGATGTCTTAAAGTACATTTACTTTTGTAGTGGCATGTAGAATACAGACACTAGATTTCTAGATAGCATGGGTATTAAGAGTATAGATGGTATGGCATAGGTTTGGCAAGTACAGTGCCCTACACTCCTGAACCCTAGGGGGCGTTACATAGCGGCGGGAGTCAGCATATGGTATGACAGGATATGGCACTCAAGAGAGCACTTTGGAAGGAGCAGACTTGTAGAGCTGACCCCATTTGATGGGACTAGCTCAAGGATAACTGAAAAGGAGTTCTAGATGGAGTTTGCAAAACTTTAATTCACAACTACTGAACTGACCTCAGTTTAACACAAGCTGCTGGAGAGATCAGAAGCAAAAATATCCAATTACAGCACACTGAAATTGCTTTATTTTTCCATATCATTTTCAGCAAAATGACTACAGAAACAGAATACTTTAGAGACACAGATTGATAGTTTATTTTCTGTTCATCTATTCCATAACAAATATGTAAAGGATCCCCTATGATAAACCTACATGTTTTCAGAGGAATGACTGTGTCATTTAAGTAACTTTAAAAGTTGTAACTGCAGTTACCAACTCATGATATTCTGAAAGGTATTCAGCTGTGGTTTCAGCTCTCCCAAACACTTGCATTTGATTCCATTTACTATCTTGTCTGTACTCATTTTGCTGTTAATCAAAAGCAGGACAGGAAGTGTTCTCAGCATACCAAGAAATAACCAGATCATCTCTGAATTTGAATCAAACCAATTATATATAATAAATAATCCCTGTTCCTCAGTGTAAATATGTCAACTGAAATGTAGTGCAATACATCAGAGGTATATTTTTTTCCTTTAAAGAAAAACTACAAGTTTGAGTTTATCATCCCCATTCCTTGGCACTCAATAAGGTAGGTATCTTTAGTAGAATCTTCATCTTCTGATTTTGACACCGTAAATTTGGCCTGCAACCATGAAGACAAAGTATTAGAAAACTTAACAGCCCCTGAACATGTGTTTATTAAACAGATGAGTGTATATAACAACATCATTAATGCCACTGAAAATATTTTAATTAAGGTTGTGAAATAAGGAATTTAAAATTGAACTCTAAACACACTGCTCTTTACTCATTACATTGAGGGTTATTTGCCAATAATAAGTATGAGCTATGGTGTTCTGTACGCCCATATCCCAAGACCAAATTCATGTCACATATACCAGGAAAAAGCCATCAGATGGTGATGCTACAAAGGTATACACGTTAAGGACTTGACTACACAGGGATTTAGTTCATGGCAAACAAGGGACTTAATGCACAGTGTCGACTGTCAGCCAAATCCACCCACGGAGTTAGGACAGGTCTACACTTAAATGGTGCAGTGGAACTCGTGTAACATTTCAGTGAAGGCTTCTCCAGTCAGCACAGGTATTCCACCTCTGTGAGAGGCAGTAGCTTATATGGAGATATACCTATCTCATAGAACTGGAAGGGACCTTGAGAGGACATCAAGTCCAGTCCCCTGCCCTCATGGCAGGACCAAGTACCATCCCTGATAGATTTGCCCAGATCCCTAAATGAAATGGCCTCCTCAAAGACTGAGCTCACAACCCAGGGTTTAGCAGACCAATGCTCAAACCACTGAGCTATCCCTCTCCCTTCCTCATGGTACTTCCTGTCCAGCTATGTCAAATGGAGAAGCCCCCTGTCAATACTACACTGTAAACACAGACCATGAGGTCAGTAGAACTACACTGCTCAGGTGCGGGGATTTTTCTTACTCCCACGCAATGTAGCTGTATCACTGTAAGTTTGTAGTGCAAACCCAACCTTAATGCGCAGAAGGCTAGTGTGTCGTGGACTTATGCTTTGACTCACTCCCCACTAAGCCCATGTGTACAGAAGACCTAAGTCGCAGATGAAGGCCCACTGATAGTGCTCTTCTCCATTCTCCAGACTTACCTTTGTTAGCTGTTCTGCAAAATGTATAGCAGTTTGAGTATGAAGTGTAATTGGTCCACTTTTCACTCTAGATACCCCATTGGCTAATGCCATGAAAATAATCAGCTTAAGAAGAAATAAATATAATTAGTTTTTTAATAATTACATAAAAGAATCGAAGCAGTACACAAGAGAACTGAAAACAACTAGGTTTACTTCTTCAGTGTATATTCGAGTGGCAGCAGCCATTCCATAATGGTAACACAGTTGCACTCTTGATTCTGGCACCTTTGCTAAAATACACACACACACACACACCCACCAAAATTCACACCTGACATCAGATTGATAGGTGATACCTGGGGCTGTGCCCAACATTGGGACTGAAGTTTTTGAATAATGACACACTCAAAGAGGTATCCACCACCAGATGTGTAGTGGTCTGACTTGAATTAGGAATATCACTCTGACACATTGACTGTCACATTACATTTAGTGCATCAGCAGAGCTCTACAGGCCAGGGCGCATCAGGAATGTCCCTCTGTTATTCTCTCCCCTACTCCCACCTAGTTACCTCTTGAGGCACTTAAGAAGAGAGTCCTGCTCTTACAAACCTTCGATCTCTTGTGTGGAGTGAGCTATAGGAGGCTAGTTCACAACTCTCCTTGGACCTCAGGAGGCTTGACAGGTATCATGTGTTTCCCCATGGACCTTAATAGCTTGTTTAAACTTCTTAACAAGCATGTGTGGTTGGTGAAGGTAGGGGTGGGAGAGGCCCCACCCCTGTGGGATCCAAGCCACCTCCCCAAGCACTGAGGAAGGTGCGAGGCCCAAGCCTCCCTGGCTCTGAGCACTGAGGAAGGCACATGGCCCAAGCCTCCCAGTCATGGAACACAGGGAGGGTAGACAGCACACGGCTCCCGCCTCCATGGCTCCGGAGCAGGGGGAGGGTGGACAGTGCGCAGCTCCAGCGTCCCAGGTCGGCACACTGGAGAAGGAGGAGAGCGGGCCGCTCCAGCCTCCCAGCCAGGTGCATGAGGAGAGCAGTAGCTGGGGGCAGCAACATTCCACCCCCTGAATGCTAACAGTAGGTGTACTGGGGGAGGAGTGTTGGGGAACGTGGCTGGCGGTTCGGGAAGGCAAAGCCTTCCCCTGCCTAGCATACCGGCCACCCATGCTAACAAGTTCATTTTGGCTTATCAGGGCTGCTATTTCTACTCATGCTGCGAGGTTCCCTCCATAGAGTCTTCTAACACTTACAAGATCGGAACCAGAAAAGGCTGCTTACTAGCCCCTCCCCTATGATTTCAGGATGACTGGGTTTGGGAGACCCCTGAATGTCTCCCAAACCTATGGCTCTGGTGGCTATTGAAATGTAACTGTGGATTGCTGTGGAAAGGCAATCTGTTTGACTTGAGACTTTTGTTTTGCTCTCTTGAATTACATTCAATACACAGTCAACCCCAGTTGCTGTGCTTGCTGCCTTAACTTTACCTTGAAGTCGGTGTGCAGGCTTCTTACCTGGTCTTGCAGATAGTCATCCACTGCTCCCCCATGCCTAAGATTTCCAAGCAGCATTTCTGCAGCTTCAATTCCAACCCTGTCAGCATTCTTACCTAGGGAGAGAGTTCAGGAGGATTAAGCAGCTCCAAAACATTTTAATTGTACAACGTGAAAAAACAGGAAACAGAAGGCTTGGATTGTACCTTTATTGCCACATTCTTGTCCGAAATAGTCACCTGGCACCCTCTGAGTACCATGATCCATCATCCCACTAGTGCATCTGAGCAAGTATAATACAGACTCCCTAAGCACTGGGAAACTTCTAGGCCACCTTACACTTTGAGAAGAAGCTTTAGCCAAACAAGATGCTACTTAAAAACAAATTCACTCCTAAATCTCTAACACAATCTCTGCTCTATGTAGTATAGCATAAATCCTTCACCAGATGAACTGGAGTGGAATGTGTAGGCTGTAAAAAATCCAGAAGTTTTCCCAAATCAGTGATCTCTAACAATCTATTAAAATAAGTGGATAAATTCACAGCTATGCTGATTTTTCTCTAGCATGGTGAACCAAACATGGATGTAAAAACGTAGCCTATTTTTAATGAAAGTATAAGATGTTAGAAAGCAAAACTAAAATCTGCAAATTTCTGTTGACCATGATCATATGGATGTAATATTTACTAGGAAATTACATGCACAAAAAATGGATATAATTCATACAATCCTCACCTCTTTTACCTAGAGATGATCCAGCAAACAGACACCCTGTTGAAGTCTCTGCAACAATACTAAAAATAAAAACTTAGTATAATATCAGTTTCCAGATTAATGCCTGATTGCTACCATTGCAAACTGAGTTATGATATCAAGACAAAAAACAGCTGGTATGATCAGTGTGGAAGGTTATTTAAAAAGTTAGAGAATCCAGATATTATATCTCTATAGTAAAATACCCACATTGCACACACTGTAAATATTAGCTGCTTGATTATACCTAAACTAGTAAGCGTATTATGAATGTGTTGTCTTTAAATATATACATTTAATGTGGCTTTAATATCTTTATTTTTCTATTTCAATTCCTTTAAAAAGTGACCTGCAAAGAAGATGTTTGTTCCCTCTTTTGCATCTGCATGATATGGAACGGGCTTGTACTTATTCCAAAGAAACATACAATATTTCTACTTTTACATGATAATTACTAGTTCGGGTCTCTGTTTTTGCTGGAGAAATCTGTGAATGGATAAAAAAAATCACTGAGATAACCTAAAACTAAAAATCCCTTCCTCTGTCGAGTACTGAAGTTTGTCAGAAACTTAGAAATAAAGTTTTAGTTTGTTTTTGTTAATACATTTAATTAAAATTCCTGAGAAATTCTTAACAGAAAAACTCTTTGCTAAAGATTTAAACACATCTCTTCCTGCAGATGATTAAATAAAAATATTTGTAAATGGTTTGGCTTATTACGAAGTGCCCTAATTAACTATTCTTAATAAAAAGGAAAGAGATATTGTGCTTTTTTGTTTACTACATCACATTCTCAGCTAAGAACACAGTAAGATAAGTATAAAAGAAGTTTGTGTCTTGTCTCACATTATTCCACTTCCAGTTCCAAAGGCTTGATTATCAGCTTCTCGAACAGGCTGAATATTAACGTAAAGATCCCTGATTTCTTTTCTGATACATCTCACTGCTGCCGATGCCATGTCTTTTGCTAGCTGGCATGGTAAAATAAAAAGGAAGCAGGTATAGTAGTTAAAATAAACTTCTGATCTAACATTTCCTCTATATACTTAACCATATGAACACATACTTGAATATCATTCTTCCAAGACATAAGGAGAGTAGCATTTAAAATTAATTTTAGCTCTTGTATTACAGGCAGTCCCCGGGTTACGTACAAGATAGGGACTGTAGGTTTGTTCTTAAGTTGAATTTGTATGCAAGTCGGAACTGGTACATATTGTAGGGGAAACTCTAGCCAAACATTTCTCCAGAGCTCAGTTTTATTCTCCCACACCTCACTTCCCTCAGTCTTTTATTCTCAAGCTGAGGTGTCTGCTGAGAAAAGCCGCTCCACGTCTCCCTGGCCTGCTGGGGGGAGGGTGCGCTAGCTTCGCGTCTCCCTGGTCTGCTGGGGGGAAGCAGCTAGTGCGGGGTTGCCTCACCCCGTTTGTAAGTAGGGAACCGATGAAAGTCGGATCCATGTAACCCGGGGACTGCCTGTATTGCCAACTTCTGCAAGCTGATATCTAACTGATATCTAACCTATTCTCCTTTCTCTCAGTGTGCAATTTTGGCTCAAAGTTTAGGTAATATTCAGTCCCAGACCAATGACAGATTTTAAAGCTGTATATGGGGCTTCCATAGCAATAGAAATTCAGAATTTTCCCCCATGCTATAAGGTATTTTCTTTCTAGCCCTGAAAAATCTTGAGAGATCTGATCTTAAAAATCACAATTTTATGAAGCAGAGACCTATCTTGTGTCCCAGTTTACAAGCACTTTAGGACAGAAACTGTACCTACCTCTGTGCTATAAGCTTTCCAAACACTTTTTCATATGTTCACAGATTTTAAGATCAGAAAGGCCATTAGGTTCATGTAGCCTGACCACTTGTATAATACAGGCTAGACATCTTCAACAAAAGAACTCTGCATCAAATTCATTACTTCTGGTCACGCTCAAGCCTATCTTTTAGAAAGGCATCCAATCATGAATATCTGCCAAAGCTTCTGAATGTTTACAACTTGGACAATGTTTTTCTCTTCCCATTTTGGGTCTTACCATAACTTAATAAGAACAAGAACAAGTAACATTTTAGAATTCCCTAAATTTGTATTTGTTATAATTTTCCTCTCCTTGAAAGCTCGGTACAGTTGGATGCCTGGGTTTACAAGATGAAGAACTACAGAAAAAAAATACCAATAAATGTACATAACCTATAAAGACTGCATAATATACAAATAGTAGTATAGTATTTATTATATACAATTATAGACCTTTATACCACGAAATATTACGGCCACTCACTTTAATGGGCAAGGCTCCGGCAACAAATGCTCTTCCATGTATCTTTGTCACAGTGCCACGTTCAGTTAAATTTATTGGGCTTAACTGTTTGACTGGTGACATTCGAACTATTACTTCACCACCACCTTGGGGGTAGTAGCCCCTATTAAAATGGCAATTAGATATGGTTAAATGCAAAGAAAAGGGATCCATAACATTGCAAACTAAATTATTCCTAGAAGTATGAAAACTGAAAATGGATTTAGGACATCTGATTGCTTTACCATGCCATTTTAGACCAGTTAAGTGGCTTAGAAATGTAAGTGATGTATTTTTTAGAAATGTGTACAAACAGAGTAAATTAATTTTAATTGATGTAATTTAAATCACTGATTTTAATCAGCAAGCAGAAAATTTAAATAAAACTTTTTAATTGTATAGTGCATAAACTTTTCAATTGTTAAAATGTTGATTTGCAACTAAATAAGGCTTTTATATTATATTTGATGCTTTTTTTTTTCAGCTAACCCGGAGGACATATTAAATCTATTTAAGCATTATACAGCTTAACTCACATTTATTCAGGTTCATTTTATATTATATTTTGTTTTGTCAGAAAATGATGAATGATATAATTCTTATTTAGCAAATGGGTTTTTTTTACTTGTAATAATTGTGTGTCAAATTATGCCTAAAAGCAGACATTAAGTTTCTTGGGGTAGAGACTGTATCTCATGCAGCTAGCAAGGTAAACACTACGGATGTAAGCGACTAGTTGACTAGCTGATAAGCAGAAGCTTATTGGAAAGTTAACTAGTGATCGACTAGTCACTTTCCCCCCCTCCCTTGCTGCTTCTATCAGGGAGAGGCAGCAAGCAGGGAAGCAGAAGTGGGACTTCCACTTTTGTATTACAGTTCAAATACAGAGATGCCCTTATAGACTATTTAATTAGTTAATTAATCTGAATTTAACATCCCTACTAAATACTATAAGAAATTAAAATAATACTCTATGCTTAAGTAACATTTTCATTTAAGGTTTCTGAAGTAATTTACAAAGATTAGACAACCATGAGTAGATAAATCTTCTTATCTTTTTTTCATAGGTGGGTAAACTGAATTTCACAAGGCCTTAGCAGGCCTGATACAACTTCCACTGAGGTAAACAAAAAACTGTCTTTACCTTTAGTGTATTCTGACAGTCTGGACAAAGCACCCCAATGTAAAGGAATCATATTCCACTTACAAACAGGCCACTGGCACATAGTATTTCAGAAGCCAAGAACATTCAACTTACCTCCTTTTTATGTCACAGTCAAATGTCATAGTGAACTTTTCAAGTATTGGTTTAAGGACCTGAGGAGTAAACATACTTTAAAAATAGAGGACTGTTTTGTGTTTAACATGTCCCGCCCACCTACTCAACCCTTAAAGAAAATATATATTTTTCTACTGTGAAGATCTCAAAATACACTGTAGAAAATGGTCAGTGTCAGGCAAAATGAATTAGAGCAGGATCTGCACATTTTAGTCTGCATACCATTTTGTAAGAGACTTTTATGGGCCTTCTTCCTTCCTCCCCTATTAATACTTAGCATTTCTAGCATAGAAAGACTGTTTTAATTCAAATGATCTTCAGCAACTAAAATAAAGGAAGAGAAATAGGCAAGTAGAGGCAGACTTCTTTATGTTTCAAGGAATTATATGAGGCGTCAGTTGCCTTTAAGCATATTCTCTAGCAGGGGTCGGCAACCTAGAGCTCGCAAGCCAAATATGGCTCTCTAGGAGCCCCAACTCAGCCCCCCCTTACTCTCCCTGCAGCAGGGAGCCAGCGCTGATGTGGCAGCCTTATGCCCTCTGCAAGACTGGAACACTAGTGGGGGGAGGGAGAGGAGAAAGCCCCAAGGCTCCCAGATCTGGCATGCAGGGAACAAACAGCACTAAAAATAACTTGGTGCAACAGCATTTTCCTCCTCTCCCCCACCCCCCGGTGTGGGGGAAACCAGGAACCAAAGATGGCTCCCCGCATACTGGTAATTTGTTGCCTTGGGACACACTTCCTGCAGTCTCCCCTACCAACCCTTCCTGGAGGTTTCCTGATGGAGAATAGGAGCAGTGGAAGGTGTGTTATAGGGTGCTTGCTGCGCTGCACGTAAACAAGTAAGTGTCACCCACTCACCCCCTCAGCCAGACAGCCTGCCTCCTCCGCCCAGCCCCATGTCCAGACACCCTTTGCCCTCTGCTCTCTGCCCAAAATTCCCACACCCCTGCATCCTGGCCAGACACCCCCTGTCCTCTGTCCAAAATCCCTCCTGCCCTCTGCCCCCAGGTCAGGAACTCTCTGCCCCCTGGCCAAACAGCCAGCACCCAGCCCACTCCTGCCCTCCGCCTAGGCAGCCTGCCCCCTTGGCGAGACCTCACACTCACCCCATCTCGTACACCCCACCTCCTGCACAGATCCTGTACTCCCATGCCTATCTCATTCACTGACAGCCCTGCCCCACACAGTTAATGCCTTATTTTTGGCCCCAACCCAGAGCCTGGGGGGGAGGCACAAAATCTACTACCTTGGAACCCCAGAAGAGTAAATCTGGCCTGAGGCCTTGAACCTCAGTCCTCCCTGTCCCTCCCCCCACTATGGGGCTGGAGCACCAGGGGAGTGAGGTGTTTCGATTGGGAGGGGAGCACACTAGTGAGGGTTGAGGGTTTTAGAGGGTTTTTTTGCTTCTCACTTGTGTGGTCCCCAACTGAGTTTTCAGTGGTGGCCCCTGACCCAAAAAAGGTTCCCCACCTGTGCCATAAATAAAGACAAAGTTGAAACATTGTGTGTTGGACATAATATTTTACTTTGTTTAAAAATGAAGCTTGGCCAACAAGCCCCCAGTTGGGGCTCAGCCCCCATCTAGCCACAGCATCAAAACTCCTGCCCACCCATACACCAACCCTATGGCCATCATACACCTGAACCCCCTGCTCTGAGCCCCTTCTTACTCCCATATCCCCAGCCTCCTGTACCTCCAAAAATCCCATCCCCTGCCATAACACTCCTGCACCTCCACACACCCCTTGTGCCCTGAGTCCATCATGCACCCCATTCTGCTGCCGTGAGCCCCTCATACACTCTAACCCAGCCCCCTGCCATAAGAATGACAGAAGACAGCTTAAATGTGTGCATGATGCTGGATTTGACCAGTTATGATGTAAACTTCAAAGATCTGTGTAGAAAGATACAGCAGAAGAAGTCCCATTAAATAAAGTCTGTGATTACAATGTTTCATTTGTGCTATTACTCATTATGTCAATTATCAATAATATTAAGTTGTGTATTTTCAGTCATGCAAATTGGCATTCTTTGTTGCCACGTGTTCTGAATTTTGATGTAGTTTGGCTCTTCAGTTTGAAAAGGTTGCTGACCCTTGTGCTATAAAATCAATATTAATAGTACAATATTCCTACACTAACCACACTTCAGTTGGATAGTTTAGTTTTTAAAGCAGAGGTGGGAAACCTAAAGTCTATGGGCCAAATGAGGCCCTGGCCTGCCTAGATCTGGTCCCCAAGGCTCAGGGCTCCCTCCCCCAGCACTGAGGAGCCTGCGCTGGTGCTCCATTCCCCACTTGCGGGGCTGGAGGACCCAAAATTTACTTGCTTGGGTCCTCCAAGCTCTGCTGTACGAGAGGAATGTGCAGAATGTTTTTCTCCTTCTCACTCGGGGCCATGTCAGTGAAGGTTTTGGATTTCCCCCCCACTTTTCACTTGTATGCAGCTCCCACCTGATTTTTCTGTGGGTCAGCAGCACCCAACATAAAAAAATGTTCCCCACCCCTGGTTTAAAGAAAACTTAGGTTGTTGTATTTTATTTCATGCTTGAAACAGCAAAAAAGAAACAAACTGCTTTGATTACTCTACAATTCCCATTAATGATATGAAGCAGCAAAAGGAACCTAGATACGTTACTTGTGCACCTGAAAGATTTAGCTAGTCAAAGAAGCTGATCCATACCATCACTGTGTAGTCTATCTGTGGAGCCATCTCAGCATTAGTCCCACCTTTTAAACGAAGCTCTGAAGGGGAAGCAGCAAAGAGCACGCAGGGCATTGCTACCTGCATTAGTAGGCACACACTCCTAAAATGGAATTGGAAAACACAAAGGTGATGTAAAATCCAGCTAAACCACAAAATGTCAGACAGAAAGCAAAGAGCCTGAAGATAATCATTACTGAAATTACATTTACATTCCTCTAACATATATTACCCTGCCAAAATCCTAACAAGTACCTTTTTGTCACTGTTGTTTCTTTACAAGACTAAAAATAAAGAACTTTCACTACAAATTTTGTTTTATCTTTGATCAATC